TCGAGTCCGGAATGATGATATACGAGATAGAGTTAGGGTAGCACCAATTGAAGAGAAGCTTGTCCAACATCGTCTGAGATGGTTTGGGCATATCCAGCGCAGGCTTCCAGAAGCTCCAGTGCATAGCGGATGGCTAAAGCGTGCGGAGAATGTCAAGAGAGGGCGAGGTAGACCGAATTTGACATGGGAGGAGTCCGTTAAGAGAGACCTGAAGGATTGGGGTATCACCGAAGAGCTAGCTATGGACAGGGGTGCATGGAAGCTTGCTATCCATGTGCCAGAGCCATGAGTTGGTTGCGAGATCTTATGGGTTTCACCTCTAGCCTACCCCAACTTGCTTGGGACTAAATGCTTTGTTGTTGTTGTTGTTGTTGTTGTTGTTGTTGTTGTTGCTTTAGGAGCACTCGCTATGTGTCAACGGATAACTGAAGTCTGGTTGCGTCTATGAACATTTGGAGATTTTGTAGTACTTTTTCCCAGGAGATAAGCTAGCATGAGTAATAGATGACCAACGGTAACTAATTACATTTTTTGCTTGACGGCCTTATTGTCTTGTAGGAAGGCCTCTGCACCCCCTCCCGACAATTGACACGCTGTGCATCTCACCTGGCCACCCCGCATCCCCTTTTGAGATTGCTTCTCCCATTGAGAGTGAAACTGTTCTATGAAATTTGAGATGTATATACATTCAGATGAATGCAGTTTCATCCATTGCTGAAAGAAATGTGATATCCAATTTCAGGTTTTCTGAAGCCATGATCAGCTAGGGATTGGATAACAGAAGCACGGCATGTATAAGATCTGAACATTGAAAACTTGCAATGCAACTCAATGGTATGCCTTCCTCGGTTCCTTGTAATCTTTGAAGCCTAAATTCCAAACTGTTTTTTTATACAAGCCTAAATGTTCTTACGTGTTACTGCTTTTGTACAAGACAGCATGAGTACAACATCTACAAAAGTATTTTTGGACTATTTTGTGTGCATCGGGCAACGCATACATTAAGCTGTCGCCATTGCCCATCATCTCATAAACTTTATTATGGGAAGCATGGTTTCGTTTTATCCCATATATCAGTATATCAGTATGTAAGTATGTTACCTTCTGTATAATGTTGGTAATTTGTCCATGGAAATATTTAATTAAACAGTGTTTATCTTCTGCATCTTTTTAATATCTTTTTACCACGACAGGGATGGAGCTCTCAACGATGTGGAGCTAAATGTCTTTCAGGTTATTCTATACAGTGTTATTAGTGTTTTAATATATACTTATTTGCATAAGAAGTTCACATATGTTAGTGATTCCTCTCGGCAAAGGAAATATCCTCCCTTTAATACAATAAATAAATTCAATGTTCATGCGCTAAATGAAAATCGTTAGTTCATTATTACTACATTATTATCAGCTATTGATTTTGTAGTATTTATTAATTAGTAGTGCCTCACTAGGATGAACATGTATTTTCTTCTCCGCAAAAGAATGATTTTTCAATGGTTTTTCCGGGCTGTTTATTTTTCAGATATTGTGACTTGCTGAATTATTTTTCCATTACTACACACATGCACATCATTTTAATTTTGTGTGCACTTCCCAACTTGTTAGTGCCATCGTACCATGTTTGTTAGTCATGCTTTACTTATTATTTGGGCACCTTGGGGTAACATCTTGCCAATGTTTGTTCAGAATGGTGAATACATGTTCAAAAGCACTTGAAATCATATTACCTTTCATTATGTTGGAAGGAAAAAGCCTTTAGAACTGGATATATGTAAGAACGCTGACACTTAAAACTATCCTTAATTTGTTTATATCTTTGTAAAGCACTTATAATGCTTGAGTTATCAGGTTAGTCACATAAAACAATACGCACTTGCACTTTCAGGCATACCTAGACTTGATTGCCAGTTGCTCTACTCTAGGTATTGGTTTAATACTAATACCTTGTCTTCAAACTTTAACCGTGGAAATTATATGGCTCATGTAAGTGCTAATACTTTCATCTTCAAGTTTAGCAAAGTGACGTACTATTTTCTAATGTATGTGAGGATATATGGCGCTTTATTGCCTGACAGGCTCAATCTTGATGACACAATTAGAGTAAGTACTTGGAGAAATTTTATTAGTTACATTATCTTTTTTAAGAGGTTTCATTGACAGTGAAGTCCAAAGGTAGAGCTGAACATTATACCATGCTTAAGAATTTATGTGACTTCTATAATAGTGTTTGTCGTACCAGCATCTCTTTTACAGAACAAACATATTTTCTGTAGTATCCTATTTCCCGGTGTTCTTTTGTAAATTGTGCTGATTCATGTCGAAGTACTCAGGCAGTCTGATAATTTATCATTTCATCTCTTTTTCGCCATGAAATGTATCGCTTAATCTTACAAAGTTGATATGCTACTCACTTCAGGCACAGAATCCATGCCCATCGAGTTGCATTTGTGATCAGCCAACACACTGTAAAACTGAGAAACTTGTGCTTGATCGCCTCCAAGAAATAGAAATTAGTGAATTATCAGGAACTGAACATGAACGTGATTTTGCGCAACGGTTATTCAGTTGGGCAACAACCTTAAAAAAGTTGACAATGTCTTTTCATCAATTGATCACGAAAGCAAGGCCAAGGGGTTGTGCCAGATGTTACGAAGCTTGTCCACATTGGAACTATATATCGAATTTTATGTGCACCGCTGCTTGGTAGGGAAAGTTCTGTATGTTCCTGAAGATTAAAACACTGATTTGTCAATTCTATTCGCAAGCCTCTGGTTTGTGTGGTCCTGTTGTTCGCATGCTCAGGAGTCAGGAGTGGTGACGAATTCATGTTGTGAGAATATGTCGATGCTGTTGAGACTGTCTTTCTAGGACGCATGTTTATCTATGTAATCTGTATGAAACTATGGATTCTAATTAATTTGCTAAAATAGTAGCTGCTTTTCCTGATTTCTAATAGCATTTGTTAGGTGGGGCGCATTGCTGTTTATTAGTTGAATGGTGATTTCTGCTGAATTTCTGTTATTGTAATGGTATATGGGACTGTAAGTTCATTCTTTTGATATCATTTGCTGGAATGTGTAAAGGTATGGCTCTTTCATGATTTGAACCTTGCACCAGTAGGGTTTCCACAACACTATGTATGATCTAAACAATGGGTGAAAATATTTATTGGAGCATTTGTTTCAAACAAATGGATTTTATCATAAGATATTTCTAATATTTAAGTGTGCGTGATGTATTTTAGATAGTACTGTCTCAATATTGTGTGCCCGATTGCTATTGAAATTAACAAAATATTTAAAATTATAGTGAAAATGTACAATCTTCAATAATATGGGTATTAATATTTATATTTGTTAAGACGTGCGTTGCACGTGCCGCTTACTAGTTTTATAGGGGTAGTAGATACATTTTTGGAAAAAAAGAAAAAAATAATAGAAAACATGAAGATTTCTTGAAACAGGAACATTTTTCCAAATTCCAAAACAAAATTTGGACATGCGAACATATTTTGAAACTATGGAACAAAATTTGAAAACACGAACATTTTTAAAACTTGTGAACAATTTATGAAATTGAGACATTTTTTGAAACTCCGAAAAAACATCAACATTTTTTGTTATTTGCGATCAAATTTTGAAAATGGGAAAAACAATTAACAGCCGAACATTTTTTGTGAAGTGGTGAAATTTTTTATGAAAAGCATTAGCAACAATTTTGAATAATGAGAGCATTTTTTGAAAATCCCAAACATTTTTTGAATTTATGAATAATTTTTAAAAAGGGCCATTTGTTGAAATTTTCAATGTATTTTAAAAGCAAGAACAATTTTCGAACATGAACTTTGTTTAAAAAGGTAAAATAACCTTGAAAAATAAAAATAATAAATAATAAAAAAGAAACAGTAAAAGAAAAAAAGAAAAAACAGAAACAGAAAAAAAAAGAAAAACCGGTAAAAACCGGTTCAGGGAACCTTCTAGAAGGTTCCCAAAACGGCTGGAATAGGTGCACTATCTACGCGAAAGTGGGCCGGCCCATCTCGTCGCTGCTCTGTCGCTCGCCTGTGCAAAACGCCGACAGTTTGACACAGAGAGCGTCAAATAGGAAATTCCTACCCGTCGATCCAAGCCAGCAGCGTCACAGCGAGCAGCGTTCCAGCCGACGACCCAGGTAACAAGCAATCGAGCACTGCATTTTCAATTCCCGAGTAATTTTCATCGGCAAGCCTTCTTCTTGTATTACAAAAAAAGCGAAACCTCCAGAGTAATTTGCCGGATAACCTGCTATAGGGTACGAGTATAAGCAAAGACGATGCTCACATAGGCCAAAGACAATACAGAAAAGCAATAATGGAAAACTTATGGATAGTTGCAGACTGGATAGTTGTACTTTCCTTTGAGTTGGCCCGCTCAGTATTTTCTTCGAAGCTCCGGCACTGCATAGAACACCAATAGGATCACAATCAATCTTCCACTTTTTGATATCGCAAGCATGTAATTGAGATTGCATGGCATGTATTGAAGTACTTACTTGATCGTAATTTTTTAGAATATATTTGATCGTGATTTTGATATCATTACATAAAAAAAGTACAACCATTATTTGTTACTGAAGTTTGGTCTTAACCAGACAAAATTTGCGTGTGTGTATGCACGTTTTATGATCGCTTGCGTTTGTACTATGTTTAACAAAAAAAATACATCCTCATATTTTGTGATATAGCAAGGTCCCAAAAATTAGAAACGAAAAAAGAAAAAAAAAACGAACGCCACATAGATCCTGCCACGCGGCACGCCACCCTGCCGATTGGAGAGCCGGGAGACCGTTATGGCCGGAAGCCAAAACGCTCGCCCCCGCCTTCGGACGGGCGACGAACGACCCATTCCCGTCTCCCTCCATCCCACCACCTCTCCGATCAAATCGCTACCTCCAGGAAGAAGGGGGACAAAAAAAATCACGAGCTCTCTCTCTCCTCGCCCGATCGGATCCGGCACGGTGCCATGGATCGCATGTCGTCGCGTCCGGCGAGCCCGGGCGGCGGCGGTGGTTACGTGCGGCGGGGCGCGTACGTCTCCAGCAGCGCGCACACGTCGCCGGGCGGGTCCCCGTCCGCGTCCCCGGTGCACACCCGCCACACGCGCTCGGGGTCGCTCGGCGGGGCCGGGTCCACCTCCTCCGCCGGCCGCCGGGGGGCGGGGGCCGCTGCCGCCGCGCGCGCGGCCGCGCAGCGCCTCGCGCGCGTCATGGGCGGGCCCGTAGGAGAGGACGGCGGCAGCGGCAGCGAAGGCGAGGAGTGCGAACTCTCCGGCCCGCCCATCGAGCTATCCACCCCGCGCCGGCCCGGCAACCGCTCCCCCTCCCCCTCGGTAACACCATCTGAATCGATCGCCATTTCCAGATTAATGTCATCGTCCAATTGAGGGCCTGCTAATGTGCGATCCTCCGTCACACGTCCATGCGCCCCTCACGCAATTTTGCGATTTGTTAGTTGCTACATTACACATTGTGTCATTGTGTTTGATGGATGTACTAAGTGGTTGCATGTAAATGTGTGTGCATTTTAGATAGGTCGTTACCTTGCGGATCAGGCGCCGGTCGTTAGCCGGCCACCCTCGCTGACGAACCGGTATGTGCCCGGGAAGTCGGTTCCGATGATACCATCCATCAAGCAATCAAACCGGCCAGCGACAAGCGGAACAGGGTCGGAATCGTCCGTCTCGGTCCCTAACCGAAGGGAGCAAAGGTCAGTATTGTCACGCATTATACACCACATGTTCCGTATTTATAAGCAGTGAATTGGTTATGGTATGATGTTGTTAGTAGTGCTATAGGGGGTTCTCACCTGTGTACGAGTTCTTTTAATTCAAATTGAATAAATTATTTATCTCGTGACTCATGCTTGTTACTTTGTTAGTTTATTGAGGGTACAGTGTATGTGTGAACTACTCTCTCCACTCCGAATTATAAGATGTTCTAACGTTTTTCTGAATCAGATGTATATAGACGCGTTTCAGTGTGTTTGTTCACTCATTTTAGTCTGTATGTAGTCCATACTGAAATATCCAAAACATATTATAATTCGTAATGGAGGTAGTACTATCTAGTATCTCCCAGTTTACTTACGGAGAATTTGTTAATTAACAGAAGGCACCTCATTAAGTATTTATTGCCTTTTGAACATTCTTTATTTATAATCACATGCTAAGTAATATAGGCTACATCATCCTTAGGAGATCAGTTGATCTTGGAAGCTCGATGAGAGGACGGCGCTCCTCTTCTTCTCTTAATGATGAGGTAAATCATGTCATCATAAATACTTCTGTGTGAAATAATAATGACTGAATATTCAGAAAATTCTATGTCTTTCCCTGAGAAAAGCTGAGCATATAGGTGCATTGAGAAGGCAAAAGTATAAGATTTGCTACTTTAGGTTGCCAAACAATTATTTTTGCTCTTCTTTAGATTAAAATACTCCTCCAACCAATATGATATGGATGCTGTGTATATGTTATTCTTCAAATCTTTTTCGGTAAAAAAAATTACCTTTTTCGGTATGTTATTCTTCAAATGTCATTCCTTCACCTTAGAATCGATTATTATCTTATTTGGAACACTCTTGTGGTTCTTGGATGCCTCCCTTGCAGATTAACACACTTCAAATGGAAAATGATAGCATGTACGAAAAGGTGAGATAAAATTACGATTATGAATTTTACTTCTACTTCTACTTGTTGGAAGCACTCAACATCCTTGTTATGCTGGCATGCATCTTCCGAGCTTCAGCTTGAAGAGGATAGATGCTATGAAGCAGATGTCAGACAGGTTTATTTCTGTGCTAAAAACTGCTGATTTTATGATAGCAAGTTCTGATACTTGAGTAGATGGTTTAATCCTAGTGTACTTCTATTTTAGTTCTTACCTTGGAGGCTGGTGCTACAACTGCATAATATGTTTGGATCCATGCAACATCTATTCTAGGCTCCTTGTTAATATGCTCTTAAGTTAATAGTTATAGATTAATTTCTCTACATTGAATTTACATGCGTTCGTATTACATTTGTCTTTATCTTTTACATAGCAACTCAGGAAAAAAAGTTAAGGCCTAAGAAAGCCAAAACGTTCAGGTTTGCCTTCAGTTGCTAGAAAGTAACTGTGACATTTGTCTCTTTTACTGAACTGTGCTCCTAATAAATAAATAATGTAAAATATTAGATGCTTCAAATGGATAGGTGGGACTTTAATTGCTATTCATTATTCAGCAGACCTACTGGATCAATAGCTGTACAACGGCAGCAGACCAAGTTCCAGTCCTACTCGTTGAGCCACTAAAGACCAAATATGCAAACTTATTGGCTTAGTTTCTAAATTCTGAAAGCCATTTGCATGAATATGTCTGCATTCACTTTGTGTCATATCCATGTTTTGTGCTAATCGATCTTCACTATTTGAATTTCAGGCTGCTGGTATGGGTGATGCCATAGAACCGGAGGTCAATTTGATTAGCAGGTATATGATTTACGAAAACGTAACATTTCTTCTTATTTACATGTTGACCATATTTTAAACCATGTTTCTGCCTTGACTCTCAGAAAGGCTGCAGCACTAGAACAGAGAAGGGTATGTTTCTATACAAAGCTTCTCCTGCTCAACATTTTGTCGAAATGTGAAAGCTTATTTGGATTTGAGTCCCCTTTTGTGCTTTGATGTGGTGCTTTAGGTGTTAGATTCTCCTGAGTTCTTCTTTTCGATGGTCGATATTTCAGAATAAATATATTTCCCCCACAATTTGCAACTTGCTTCTACCAAATGGGGAAATATCTAAACTGTAGCTCTCTAGCCCAACCAAGGGCTGACTGGTAATTCGCCAATCGAGAGCTGTATGAAGGAGATATAGGCCTATGGGAGGTCCGCTTGCTGGCGGGCCATGTTAGACTGGAGGCAAATGATGCCCAACCCCACGTGTCACATGGGACGGACAACCCTTGTATGGTCTATTGGAGGCAACCGGGCCCCATCGCCTCATTGCCCCATGAGCACCCTTGGATAGAAGATTGCACCCCAGCCCACACCCGAGCCCTTGGTTGTTGACCTACCAGAGTATAATGAATTTTCTTCATTTCATAAATCCAAGTTAGAAATTATGGGGAAAATAAAAGCAATTCTAAGATTTTGCTTACTAACTCTATCCAACCTCGAGTTCTGTTTTCTCTTAGGCTTCAATGAGAATTGCTTCAAGAAGGGGTAACAGTGCAAGCTGCGATGAGATTACAGCCCTTCGATCAGAAGCAAAGGTGAATAGTTCACCACATATGATTACTTATTGCTGAATGAGTTCTCCTCAGTCATGTTTTGCAATCCTAAACATTTATTTACTCTGTTGGGTAGGTTGCTGGTGAGATGGCCACATCTGTATCTCGGCGTGTAGGTATTGGATCAGAACTGAGATCTCTTCATGCAACATCCAACAGAACGATCCTGTCACAAGAAGAAATGGTGTGTAGGCTTGCTGGCCTATTCATATTCTGGCACTTTGTTGTTTTTGGATCCATTACATTTCACGAAAATCATTTATCAGGAGGAGGTGGTGCTAAAGAGGTGTTGGCTCGCCCGCTACTGGAAACTATCTGTTAGACTTGGTACTGAGATTATCTTCCTGTATTGTTTTTCCGGGATCTTCCTCTAATGTAGTCTAATTAATTTCTCAAAATTCTCTAGCATTCTACTACAGCACAAAAAGGTGCAGGGAAGCAAGTAAATTCGTGGAGCCCTAAACAGCAACTCTCCTCCATTGTAATTGTTAGCATTGACAAATTAAGGGCTCGGGTGCTGGTTAAAAATAAGGGCTAAGGGATGCATTATTACCCTTCCCTATTTGTTCATTATAAAATTCACAAGCTAATGTTGCCATAAACATTTCGCATAGTTTGCCTTTTAAGGAGTGTACCCTTTAATAATATGTCCTGTTTCAAATTTATTTCGTTAAGTTTATTCATGGAGAGATCCAGTCCTTACTTGTCTGTCATAATTTTCTCTGAAGCCTGTAAATTTATTGCCAATTATTGTCAGGGAAAAATTGTTATTCTTCATGAGAAAAAGACTTATCCACAACTGAGCAGTCAATTTAAAAAAAGTATGTAGATTGTCAGAATGGTTGGCTAATGCAAAGGTGTCTATTTTAGGGATACATTCTGATATCGCTGCACAAAAACTAGAACACTGGTCCTCAGTTGCACCACTTGCACTTGAAGTCGTCCTATCAATTGGGCAAAAAGCTAGAGATGGAAGTTTATCAGGTCAGATTCCCTTTCAATATCCATCTTTTGGTCTCCTAATTATGATTATGTTACTACCATGAAGCTGTTGATACAAGCATCACATATTTAGATTACTCTACAAGTAGCTTATGACGTGATACATGTAGATGAAGGCCAGATTTCCATGAAATGATATAACCTACATCAACTGAAAATCCCTGCAAGGATTCTGATGTCAAGATAAAAATGAAACTGGAAATGACATAAATGAATCTGCAGAATGTACTTGAGTTGCTTTGAGTTGGATTTCATCTTTGTTGTGATATGGATTTTTGCTTTGTATTTCGTACGTGCATAGAAAATGAATTCCAAATACATTTCCCTTAGTGAAGTACTTACATTTTGCCCATAGGTGCAAAAAGATGCCAAGTGGATGGTTAATATATTTCTGTCATGTGGAGGATTAATATATTTCTGTTATTTTTTAAAGTAATATAATGTCAAAGGATGTATCATCATTTTAAGTGTACCAGAGATGGTATATAATATCATGATTTCAGTCACATTACTTATTTTCTTGTACTGTTCATTTGGTAGCAGATAATGATGTAAATGATACGGCTGGAGATGGAAATATTGAGAGCATGCTTTTAGTTGAGAAAGGACTTCGTGAATTAGCTTCGCTCAAGGTTTTTCTCAATATTTTCTTAGTAATTTTATGCTCGTCCCAATCAATGAGTTTCTTCCAGAGGCAAGTCCCAATTGATCAAGTTTGATGAGATCCATAGTACTCACAATAAACGAAAATTATGTCTCATAGTGTTGGTGTGGCAATTTCCTAGATGATAGTTATCTTCTAGCAGTTCTCATGCTCGTCTAGTTCATTGTTTTGACAATTTCGTTTTCTCTGTCAATCACATCGAGTGATACAGAAAGTAATTGATGTGTCATATTGGTTCCACTTGATGAAAATAGAAAGTGGATTGTCAAACTTCACTACTTCAGACTCCTGTGGGTAACAAGTTTGTGTCATTGTGAAGTATATTGTAGATGCAGTATGTGTCACTGAATTTGCTTTCACATATTCTCATAAAGGAAGAAAATGATATTTATGTTTCTAGTTTCAATTGCCGAAGCAATAATCTAATATTCCCTTTGAAGGTAGAAGATGCAATCATGCTGGCTTTAGCAGAACATCGACGATACAGACCTCTCTCAGGTGGCTTCTCCAAAATGTACTCATTTCTTATACTTTTATCTTTAATATGTTACTATATGATATATCTCAGAACTTCCGACAGATATACAACAATTTTTCTCTGTCTACTACGATAATGTCATAAGAGTTCCAAAAAGACTTTTTTTTAGATCAGTTCCAAAAAGACTTGAGACTGTATGTGTGGTGCTGTTACAATTTGGCAACACATAGCACTTGGGCATCCAAGAACCACTTTTTGCAGACTCCGAATGGTACAGCAAGTTGATAATGCATATAACACCAGGGCAAAAAGGAACGATTACACTCGCTTAATATAATTGATATATACCAGAATCACTTCAGGAAAATACTGGACAAAACCATGTAGATTTTTGGTTCAGTAATTCTAGTTTGTATGGGAGAATTGCAGGAAGTTTATCACTTCGTTTGTGTGATTAGAGCTGCTTCCTAGCCAACTGTGCCAGCTCATCTGTCCTTCTGAACATTCATGTTGCTAAATTGACTTGATGGCATTGGACAAATATGTTTAACCCTTTTTATGATGAGTAAGCTTCCTATTGTAGGTCCAGTTTTTCCTGCTGATAGTCATAGTTCTCCGGAGTCAACTGGTTAGTTCTTCTCTTCACTAATTTCTTTGGCATCTAAGGCCTGTGAAAAACACTAGTACATCAAATTTCTTTACTAACTATCTGCGGGGGCTTGCTATTTGTCCTAGAGTTAAGTGAGGATGAGCGAGATGATGTACGCTTCAAGCAGGTAAAATAACAATCTGCCATCCATTTGATGGGTCGAGACAATTCTCTGCAATTTAGTATTATTTTTTGTCCCACTATGTGTCAAAGTTAAAACATGATAAACTAAGTTGACCATAGTAAAATGTCAGCTTAAACATTTTATGGAAATTCATATATTCTGTTCTTGTTTCTTTCTTGTGAGTGTTCCATTTTTTACTTACCATAAATTTTACGTCGAGGAACTAACGATATAACAGGCATGGTTGACCTACTTTTGGAGGCGGGCCAAAAACCATGATGTAGAGGAAGATATAGCTGACGACCGTCTACAATTTTGGATAGAGCAAGGCAACCACCCAGTTACTACAAGTGATGTAGTTGAAGGTAACCTCCCTTACATTACTATTGAGATCATCTTTTGCACAATCCACAATTCTTTACAGTTTGTACGTTCTAAACAAAAGAAACCACAAATATTTTGTTTTGTTCAAAATTATGACTGAGAAACCATAGTGAGAAGTATCATGTCCTCGCAATCTTTTTTCTTTTAACTTTATCCATCACCTCGCTAAACACTAAAAATTGTGCTAAATGTGTTGTTGAAAGCCGTAATCATTTTTTTTCTTGTTTTGTCAAACTATGTTAAAAGTCGATAGAGGACTTCATGAGCTGAAGAAACTGGGGATCGAGTCTCAGCTGTGGGAAGCCACGAGGAGAGCTTTCGACGATGAATCCATTAATCATGGAAGTCCATTTGGATCTGAAGTTTAGCCAACACATAAGTCAGAACGAGGTCTAGTGCCAATTTTGCGCCGTCACAGGCCCTAGAGCCTTTATGTTTTGTTTTGCAGTTTATGGTTCTTCCACAAGTTCATGTAAATTTTCTGATCAGAACAAGAGATGATTCTGTCTCCTAGGCCTTTTCCTTTCTTCCCAGCAACCTCGACTAAATCCTGGCAAAGCAAAAGTGATTAATTCAAGATGTGTTGTCCACTAATCGAGTAATCTGCTGCAACAGGATAGATACATACC